ATGCAGGATCTCTGCTGGACCCAGTCCTGGGTGTGGTTCCGACGGCCGAGCAGAATGCCAACGCTCCTGGAGGAGCAGAAAGCCATGATGGCCATGGGAAGAAGAAAGCCAAACACCTCAAGGGGGAGGAAGACCTTGGTACTCCAGGTGCCATCAGACATGTTGTGGAAGCACGTGTACTTTTCCACTTTCTCGTGGAAGCTGTAGACAGGGATACTCCCGGCCCACACCAGGGCCCAGATGGTGCAGCAGATCCCGAAGATCTTCCTGGGGGAGCGGAGGTGGCTGACCAGGAGTGGGTACCGGATGGCCAGGAACCTGTCCAGGCTGATGAAGCAGATAGTGAAGATGCTGCCGTACATGCTGATGAAGTAGAGACACTCCACCAGCGTGCACAAGGAAGGGAAGGGGGGCCGCACGTGGGACAAGGCCATCTTGAACGGGAGGGACAGCACTAGCAGCAGGTCAAAGACCGCCAGGTTGATCATGTAGATGGAGGTGGCAGCATAGGCCGGCCACCTCTTCTTCAGGAAGGTGCTGAAGCCGTGGATGGCCAGCAGGTTGAGGAGCAGACCCAGGAGGAAGGTGGGGATGTGCACTGCCAGCTGTAGGGTCCTCATCACAGTGTCCACGTCCCTGAACGAGCAGTTCCCGCTTGTGTCCAGTTGGCTCATGGTCCTTCCTACAACATCAACAGCAGATTAGATGGGCTTCCTCTCGCTCCCTTTTTTTTTTTAAAAAAAGATGACCGGTAAGGGGATCTTAACCCTTGACTTGGTGTTGTCAGCACCACGCTCAGCCAGTGAGCGAACCAGCCATCCCTATATGGGATCCGAACCCGGGGCCTTGGTGTTATCAGCACCGCACTCTCCCGAGTGAGCCACAGGCCGGCCCCCTCTCGCTCCCTTTTACTGCTGGACTCAAATGATGTTGTCAAGAATAATAAACACTTCCACAGCGATTCATGCTCATTGACTCACAATTAGAAAACACAGAAAGAAAAATTTCCTCTAACCCTGCTGCCCAGATAGACCCATTTTCCATTTTGTATGTATCATTCCAGCCTCACCCCTTACCCTCTTTCTCTTTCTACACCACACATGCACATTTTTCTTTTGCCAGAATGGAACCACACTGTGCACAAACATCTGCTCCTTTTCTTCAGTCAGAACTCCTGTTGAAAGTAGTAACAGCAACACGAACTCTGACCCAAACTGTTGCAAACAGAGAGAGAGTTTCACGTAATAGAAAACATGAAAACTAGGGTAGGGCTGACTTCAGGCACAGCTTGATCAAGGGTTCAAATGCTGTTCCAGGACTCAGCTTCTCTTCACAACTGTCCCCTTTGCTCTCTGTCACCCATTTTCCTGATGGTTGGACAGAGGCGACTCCGCCCCAGACTGTAGGGTGGTTGCAATCCACACATCACATTCACCTGGACACAGTGATTCCTTCAGGCAGGGGTTGGGGTTCTTTCTGTGGGATTCAAAAGTGGGAAGATATAAGGTCTGAAGCTGCTACAGCCTCTTGCTACCCCAAAGAGGAAACCAGACAGAAAAAGGAGAGACATGGAAGAAAGGACATTCCCAGAGGGAATGAAGTGGGTGCCTGAGGTCTACACAGGGCCAAGAAAGGCCCTTTGACAGGTGAAAAATTCAAACTGGCCTCAGGGACAAGAGCACCAAGGCTGTGGTTGCACAGGGACGCGGTTGGAGGCAGGACCTGGCCATGCCTTGCTTATGAGCCTGGCCAATTTGAGGGATGCGATGTGTGCCATTCTGGGGTTCTGTATCAAGGTAGGTGGCCTTGGAGCAGGTCAAAACCCAGGCTTCCAGAACAAATGCTGCTGGAAAAAGAATCCAAATACTACCCAACTTCCACCCGCTGCCCACTCACCCACCTCTGCCCACTCCCCTCCTCCTCCTTTCTTACCCTCTCTTCCTGCCCCACCCCCACCCCAAGTGAGGCCAAGCTGCTGGAGTGACTGGTCCCAGACCCTGAACGAACCACATTCACTAGTGCACAGGGTCACTGCATTGAAAGGTCATTCATGCTTGGCCTGCTCCTGAAGCGCCTCAGCAGCAGGCAGCTGGGTGAGCCAGCCCAGCCGGGCCCTGCTTTGAGACCCAGCCTTCCACTGCTTCTCCCACCTCCATGACTTCTGGCTAGTCCAAGATGTAGACGTGGCAAAGAGGAGGTGCCAACAGGGTCTGCCACCAGCAATTCCTGCACTGGTGACCAATGCAGCTCATTTTTCTTTAAGGTTATGTTAATATGCTAGTGTTTTTCTTTTTAATTTAAAAGGTATTCCATGCATTCAATAACATTCAAACAGTGCAAAAGAACACACAGGGGAAAGTCAGCCTCTGTTGTACCCCAAGGCCTCAGCTGACCTTTCTTTTTTTTTCTTTAATAAGATGACCGGTAAGGGGATCTTAACCCTTGACTTGGTGTTGTTAGCACCACGCTCTCCCAAGTGAGCTAACCGGCCATCCCTATATGGGATCTGAACCCGTGGCCTTGGTGTTGTCAGCACCACACTCTCCCGAGTGAGCCACAGGCCAGCCCCTCCTCAGCTGACCTTTCCAGAGGCAACCATAGTTAACAGTTTCTCACATAACTTTTCTCAGAAATCTTCTAAGTATATGCATACATGCATATAAGTACATACATGTGGATGACTTCTTTGTAATTTGGAAAATATTATACCTACAGCTCTGTCCCTTGCTTTCTCACTTCATAATGCTTCTTGGAAATTGTTACCTGTCAGCATGTATGAATTGACTTTTTCTTTCGAACGGCTTCATTGCTCCCCATCATGTGGACATACATATCTCATTAGCTAGTGGGCTGCTGATGAAGATGTAGGTTTCCTAGTGTTTTACTAGAAAATAAATATTTCACAATAAACATCTGTAGTGGATTGAATCATGTCCCCACAAAACTCATTGAAGCTTGAATTGTGTCCCCCAAGTTTTATGTATTAGAAACTTAGCCCCCACTGTGACTGTTAAGAGGATGGGAAATCCTATTATGATAATTAAAAGGTGGAGCTTAAAGAGGTGATTGGATTGTAGGATCATGCAGTAGTGAATGGATTACAAATGGTGGTCAGGGGCGTGGTTCTGAGGGCTTTAAAAGAAGAGGAGAGTCTGTCTCTCTCTCTCTCTGTTCTCTCTGCTTCTATCATCTTGCAATGTGAGACCCCTGAGTCACTGTCGCCACCACCAGATGGATTTTGGACTTCCCAGCCTCAGAAACTGTAAGCAATAAATTTTGGGT